TCAAGAAGAGAGTAATCCAAAACAATTAGGGTGAATTAATAATCCTGCTTTCTTGCCGTCTTGCACGAGTGTGTGAGGTGCCTCCTCTCTGTTTAGCTGCTGATATTGCTGAGCTGTGTTGCTGCTCTCCCTGCCTCCTCCCCCCTCTCTCCTCCACTCTCTCCCCTGACTCCAGCCTCCTGTGCCTTTAAAAAGACAAGCAGCTTTTTCTCATACGCTACCGCGACCATGCAGGGGAGCCAAACAATAGCAGACCCCCCAAAACCGCACTGATTAACAGGCGTTTTCTTTTTCACTCTGTCAGCCCCCTTCTTCCTCCCTCTCACAATAGCCGTACATCTCCACGTTGGCTTTTTCCTGCCAGAATCCCCCCTCACTCACCCAGTGAATTGCATAGGGAAAATGTCATTTTTGTGCCTCCTTTTCACACAATGGAAGCTTCCAGCACTCAGCGTAGCCAACCAGAGTAATGCCTGAGGTAAACAATAGACTCTGAGAAACTAGTATGTGTGTATTATTCAACTCTCACTCTAATATATTCTCTGTCATTCAAGCCACTGCACCAGTAACTCAGTACCAGCATACATTAAATATTATATCTCATGTTTTTCAGAATCCTATGAGAAGGCAAACAAGAACAACCCATTATCAGACTCAAAATGTTAAATGTTAAATGTTAAAAGATATACATATATATTTGAATTACAGGAGCTTAAACCAGAGATATCACCCTTTTCTAAGGAGGCAAGGACATATGCTTCCTGACATACTACACACCCTGTCTACATTTCTAAATGAATATGGTCCCTGCGTTGAATCCCTTGGCAGCAGGCTGGGTTGGTGATCTAATTTACAGGCACTCTCATCAAACCTTGAAATGCATCAAAGACCAGAAGAGCAATAAAGACACTCTGTCTAGTCATGTCGTCCAGTTTCTCTTTTCCTTTATATATCTCAGAGGGTGACAGACACAGAGATTGTGTCCTGGATGGAAAGAAGAGCAGGAACAGGTTCTACAAATTTCCCACTGATTGTCAAGGAGCAACGGGAAAGAGAGGCATTGGAAATATGAGAAGAATAAATCTATTGTACCACTCATGGGAAAGTGGGGAAAATGGGGGCTCAGTACAATAGCAACTCCAGCCTGCAGCACTTGCCTTCACACAAGCTTGCTGTATGCAGGTTTCAGGTGTCGTACCTCTGCCTATGTGGACCAAAAAGACAGAATGAGACGTGGAACAAAAAACCCAGTGTTCATGTCCAACCTAACACCACTTTTGAAAAGGGGAGTATTTGCATGTAAACATGAAGTCCATTAACTGCTGTTCACAACGAATATCGATGTGATTCTAGTCTCGGTTGGGCCTGCTGGTCGATGTTTCACAGCCCGAGGGGACAAGTTAAAACGCTGCCCACTCCCAACTCCAACACAGACCCCTGCTAAAATAAAAAATATTGATTACTACTCCCATCCTCATACCAGTTATATCATACAAAGATGTATCTAGGGCAGCAGAGCATGTATGTGCAAAGTACAAGTTCCTATTCTATTGAATGACTGACATAAACATCCTCTCTGTGTTGCGACTTTAAGAGCCTGGCATTGCACTGCAGTTTCAACAGCAGACTGAAGAAAATGAAGAAATAAAAAATTCAACAAACTCAAGCACTGGAGGACATGGCTGTGGCAGGTTTTTTTTTTAAAGATTCATAGCGGCACTCAAGAGCAATCAGGGTCACTGCCATCCACATACATGTAGGGTTTGAACGTAATAGTGTGTGTTTCTATGCAGACTGTGATGGTGTAGAACTATTTGTGATTGCATGGGTGTGGGTTGAAGCTTGAAGGTCTAAAACTTTTTTTTACTTAAGAACATGGCAGTATAAAGAATATAACTTCTACATACCTGTAAAATTGTTTTTAGTTGTGTTCAAAATCAAAAACATGCAGTGAAGTCAGAATTAAATATGATGATATAGGACTTCTGAGGGGTTCTTTTTTTTTGTAACTTGTTGTTTTTATTTGTTCTTGCACATGCCAGCCGGAGATAAGAACATAATGACAATCTTTGGGCGCTGCAAGTAAATTTGAATAGTACTGTCAAGTCAGTTTCTTTCAGTTACAATGTGTGGCTTAATCATGGGTATAGTTTCAAAGACTACCAAAAACCACAAACATCAGTAAAGACCACAGTGTGTGATAACAACATAGTTAATGAAAACATGACAGTGTAGCTCATCAAAACTAAATAATTCAGGAAAAATACTGTATAAAGATATATAGTTTCTGATGAGCACAACAGCTCATAGCATAAATAAATGTCCTGAAACTTAACAGAAAATGTGGCTCTATTTCTGGAAGCCAAACATTGTTAGAAATAGAGTATAGACTTTGCCATAAAACGTGGAATTTTTGTTGTCATAGTTTAAGTCAAACATCACTACCACAAACTCCAACCAACAGTAGCAGCATCTGTAATATCCAATGCCCTTCCTGAACAACTGCTTATCAGCAGCGTAAGAGCCTGGAGCTTTCTTTCTCTTAATGCCAAGAAAAAGCTGCATTGCTCCCATAAACAATCACTTGTGGGATCAATTTCCGGAAGCTGTGTCTACAAAACGTCCACTCTCAGACTTCATCTGTCTGCATTTACAGTATAACTTCTTACAACACTGGCATTCCCTCTCTTTTTATCACCAGAGTAAACGACAAAAGCAATCAGTGGAATAATCAGGGCATTTCAATGGGAAACCTCAAAAGGAAAAATCCAGTCACACAAAGGCTTAGATACCATTGACGCATTATCTCAATCGCTGACATGTGTTGTGGTTGCATAAGATAATGGGGAGAACACATTTGCCACAAATACATGTAAATGAGGAGGTTTAGCTGTTAAAATGCTTTATACCTGGCTTTCTCTACAGTCTCAAATAGAGAAGAGAGAGTACAAGTAGACAAAGGAGGAGCTGATGGTTTTGGAGATTTCAGGGGAACCCAGAAAAACAAACAAAACAAGGCACTTCTCACTTTTTAGCTGTCAGGGATTGTCATGAGAGTATAAAATGACTGACAGATTAACTATTTTAAGTAATTATTCATTCAAAAAAGGAAGACTGCCTTGTTTTTTTTTCTAACAGGAGGATTTAATTATTTCTCATGCATCTCATCGCATGAGTGAATCATTCAGGAAAAAGCACTTAAAATATGTTTTGTTTGGATGACTAACACACCAGTTTCCAGTTGGAGGAGGCAAATTCAACGCCTTTTATTTTCCTAACTAAAGAATAAATGTCAAGCATCTCTGAGGGAGTTGCTTTGTCCCTGCACAGATTGATACATCATTATCATTATTAACAGTAAAGATTATATGTTTTAATGTTCTTTACATAACAAGACAATCTGTGAAATCCAGTCAGTATATTCGGCCCATATTATTGTGTCGGTGTGCCACTGCTATCTAACAGTCCTCTCAGATATCATAAATAATATAACAACACTACACTAGCCTAGCCTTCTTTAAATTCTGGTCTTCTTTGAGCAAGGGAGGAGTTCAGAGCTCCAAATAGTCACAAGCAAATAGTTATAATTCTACACAGAAATCATCTACAGTAGTGACATACTGTAGATGAGAGTATGTGTCTCCCTGTGTTATTATTTGTTATTATTTACCTACAGCATTCAGACAGCAGAGTGCAGACACAGGCTGGCAAAACAACATGAACACTGGACTTTGTGAAGGGAAAACACCCTCTGCTGGTCGTAAATAGCAGTGCCCTGTGAAAGGGGCTGAGTCATTCCCTCTTATAAAGTAAAGTCTATGAAATAAATTGCAATGCCAAGGGGGACTGCAGAGGAATGTTCAGTATTATCAGTGGGGAAAGCTGCACTGATAGCAAAATAATGAGGAGCATTTAAATGTAATCAGCATCAGTGTTATGAATGAAAATCATTGTGTTCGTGCCATGACTAGGGTGCTACACATGCAGCTCAAATGGCAAAAAATCAGCCATAATGCGTCAAGTGGTTATGTTGGGGCAGGTTGTACTAATTGTGAAAAAGTGTGGTGTTTAAGTGCATAAACATTTCACCCGGGTACTTTTGCTATATGCACCATTAATAAGCCACAATTATACAGTATACATTTGAGTTTCCATGACCACTAAGTTCATACACTAGCAAATCCTGTTTCCTATGAGTTCATGTGGTGAGCGTGCATAGCAATGCTAATCTGTAATTTCATGAGGTGGTAAGAAGGGTTGCTGAAATAGCAGACGAGACAGTTACTCTGGATTTCACTGAGAAAATGACAATAATGCTGTATGTGATGTATTTGTATATGGTGAACTGTTGATTCCTTTTAGAAATAGCTAAACATTTGAGGAAATATGCTTATTTCTCGAGAGTTAGATGAGAAGATTGATAGCAATCACTTATGTTTGTAAGGTAAATCTGAAGCATGAGCCCGCAGCTGGTTAGCTTAGCTTAGCACAAAGACAAAAGACAGCCTGGTTCTGTCAAAAAGAGGAACAAAACCCACCTACCAGCACTCCTAAAGGTAATTAATTACTCTCACAGTATATGTTGTTTGTTTAAATGTTTAATTTTGCCCCAGCTACATATTTACCAAGTAGAAAGTGGAATCAATCTTTTTCCCAAGAATATTTTCCAAACTATCAAATTTCCTTCAAGTTAGAATAAAGAGACTGCATGCATGACTACATTTCCAGCATCTACAAGGTAATTCAGTGTGCCAGATGTCAATTTAATGCTCTAATTTGACCTGAACTGGAGTTGAAAGGATAAGGACAGGGCTAGTTTTCGTCAAGCAGGCTAAAGGGACTAGTGTCAGCGCTGGACAAATCTACTGTAAGGTCTTACAAGCAAAGAAAGGCAGAGGCACGAAACAAAACAAACATTCACATCACATTTTGGAAAGAGCAAATGACGAGTGCTTTATAATGAACTTCACAATGAAATTACCTAATGAACAGGTTCATACCTTAAAGGAGGGTGACAGGGTAGAGAAGCAGGGCAGTGGTCCTCATTCTGGTAAGCAGAAGGTACAGGAGGGGAGGCAAGGGCTGAAGGAGAAGGAGGAGGAGGAAAGCAGGGAGATGCAGGTGCAGATGGTACAGCTTCAGGTGTGTGCCTCTCCGGGGGTGTGGGAGGGGGAGTGGGAAAATCGGTGGTGTCTTGGAGGTGGTGAGGGAGGGCAGGCAGGAAGTGAGGTGGGGGAGAGGCAGGGGCACAGTCACCTCTCTCTGCCTGTTCAGCGTGGGAGGGCCTGCAGGGGAGGGAATACAAAACATCAACAGACAGACCGAAACAAGAAGGCCAAGAACGGCGATTCAGAAAGCCCTCTGAGGACAAACTCCACTTTCCTCTATACAATTGAACCATAATGGAAACTTACCTCAAAACAGGGAAAGATGAAGCACTCTGCTCTGTGTCTTCATCTAAACCGAGTAGTGACTTGAAAACTAAAAAGCTCACTCCAACCATCCTAAGAAGGCTTTGTCATTTAAATTACATGAAACTCCTCTGATCAGCCCCCTAACATGACAGTCCATGTTTCCCTTGCTTGTTCTACTTGCCCTCTGCAGTGAAGTAGGGTGTCTGGATCTGTCATCATTGGCCACCTGGTGGAGTGGATTTGGCCTTTATCCAGGCCCGTCTTATCAGGACTGGTAGGCTCTCTAATCTGACAGGCAATGCGATGGACGCCCATGCAGCTGTTCCCCACTTGGGGCATGCCTCCTGTTTAGCTCTAAAAATACCCCAGTAGCCTCCTCTGCAGAGCAGAGTGCCACAGTACCTCCATCAACTAAAGCACATTCACAGTATTTTAACATCAAGTAAACTGCCTGCTGAGCTGCACTTTCCAAACGTCTCTTCCAGCTCATTTCAGACTGAAACTGAGCTCTGCTCTACATTCTCTATCTCTCTCTCCAGTAAAGTCAGAACTTAATAACATTTAATGAGGGCGTGTGCTTTTCTTAAGGGCGTAGCGACTTACTTTTACTTTCTAAGACTGGTCTGGTTTTCTTTCATTCCTTTATAAAAGTACAGAATGTTGTAACTGATACAGGATTATACAGGATGGTTGCATGAAGAGGAAACATCCTACAATCCCATGTATGAATTTTTATTTGGTCCCATTCCTCTCATTACAAATCCTCTGTCAGTGACTTACACCAGCAGGCCAAAGCTATACATATGTCAGCATCTGTGGCCAACTTGGCACATGCAGCCTGGAAATAGAAATGACCAAGTCACAACACAGTCTGAGCAAAGACTCACTGCTGCCTCCAAAGATGGACAAAGGCTGCTATGGAGCAGAAAATCAGGCTAATGGAGAAGAGAAAAATAACAGAAAATAAGATTACCCTGGAGTGTGGAGTATTTACAGGTTCAGTGGCTTTTATGTGGAGATAATGTCAGCTGACACAGCTCAGGTTAACAGCTGGAGCTTTAAAACTTGGCCTTTCTTCAAGATATGATGGGTATGAACTAGCAGAGGCTTCATCACCATAACAGGATGAATGCAACAAATTAGACAGGACATTTGTGCTCTTTTTCAGCAACACACTTCTTCATGTCAGTGTAGTTTTACTGTTGGCATTAACATCTGGATGCTTTCCAATGCAGTTTTTTATTGTTTGTAACTCAGCAGCGAGCAAGGCGTTACTAAAGGGCACCTCATAAGCAGTTCTCGAAAAAATCCAGAATCCAGATTTTACAAGGCCAGTCCATAACAAACTTGATTCTCTAACCTCCACTTTCATGACTGAGCATTAAGTTAAAAAAAAGGTGACTTTACTTGTACTGTATTCAAGCCACGCACACACACTTTTAGTGTAATCTACGGGAAACAGCTGGATGCAAAAGACAGCAAGTCCAAGCAGGGTGTTTAATGATAAACAGAGAGTCGTAAACAGAACCAGCTGAAGGTACAGAGAAAAGTGGAGTTTTTAATGCTGTAATGATGGGAGGACCATTTCTGTCCTACAGCCAGCAGCTAGCTCATATTGTACACACACACATACATACACTGCACATTCAAGAAAACATTGTATATACTGCAAGAACATACTTCATAAATAATCCACAAATTCTCTTCTGCCACTACTGAGATTAAATTATTATTTAAAGGCAGTCTAATATGGTGGAATAAACGACAGACACGAGATTATCCACTTCACTTGCGCCAGCAAAGTCATATGAACCTACAATCGCCATGGTAACTAGTCTATTTACAGTACAATGTGGGCTATAGCACATCCGACTTCCTTTTCACTCCGAAAAACATGGATGAGAAATATCCAACATACCAAGATGAAAACTCACAGTCATTCCCATTCCCACATAGTGCTTTATGAAAACTGTCTTTAAAATTAGTTTTTTATAAAAACTAGTTATGTAACATTTTCAAAAAACTATGTCACACAGCAAGTGTTCAATTCAAAAAATTCAATTACCAATTATGGCCATTTGTGGTCATTTTAAAAGTCTACCATGCCAACAAGACTTTTGGGAAACACAGACAGTAGTTAATCATTAGTTTTACTATTACTGAGATGTGTTGCCAACCTTTAATCCGGCAGCCTCCACATCAAGTAGGGGAGTGGAGCAAAACATGCTCTAACCTGTAACATTTTTTGAAGTACAACATTTCGCAACTTTGTCCCTTCTTTTCCGCTTTCTGTCTCTTCGTCTTTCTATTTGTCCCTCCCCTCCGCCCATCTGGTGAGGTCAGCAGAGGCAGAGCGTAATTAGCACTGGTTACCTACTGACCATCTGCTGCATCCACCTGGAGGGACTTAAACACAGACACCTACAGACAGAAAATAGGGCAGCTACTTCTTGTAAACTCACCCAGATTTCAGCCACGGAGGAGTCCATCACACAACTTCAGATCTAAATACAGTAAGTGATGGAACTGACTTCTGTTACTGCACTCCAAAGCCCCGGAGCCAATAAGTGTACGTCCCAGTCCTTCTCTCCTCTGTCTGTGACTGATACACACTCACGGCGCAGCACATGCTCAAGTGTTTCTCTGAACTCTGGCTTTTGTTCCACTCTGTCTGGTCTGTGCAAATGACTTCAGTGGGGCTGAGTGCCTGCCCAAATTCCTCCCACTACAGGCTTCAGTTCACAAAGCCGCATAGACTGAGCTGGACTGACAGCTAGGACAGCCTCTGGGGGGCGGGGAAAAAACCACATGTACACACATAGACACACAGAGACATACACATCTTCCACCATGCAGTCACATTTCTGTCCCTGCCACACGTATGCAAGTGTAACTGTATCTATTGATGAAACCTATAGTGGAAATAGCACTGTCACTCCTGCTCTCTCCAACTTTGAACAAACCTTTATGTCTCCAACAGCAGTGATGGGACAAGTGTTGTGACTGACAGGCAGCAAGTGCTACTCTGGCATGTGGGATGACTCCTGGGCATGCAGCAAACGGCAGGAGAGGAGTCAGGAGAGAGTGACAAATAAGACAGATAACTGAGGAAGCTGAGAAAAGCTAAGTGAAAATAAATCAGCAGCAATTATTTAATTTAATAAAAATGTCCCAAAAGACGTTGAAGTAGACAAACACTGTACTTTCACAACACATACTTATATGCGCAATGAACACTCTGGTGATATGTGACGTTTTTCAGTAAAATTATGACATATGTGGAAAGTTAGTCCAGTTAGACCTATTAAAATGCTTAAATAAACACTGAATTTCCACATATAGGTCGAACTAAACGACACACTGATTTACTATGTGTATTTAACTTAACAACATAAAGGGTTCACTGCTATCACATCAACCAGTCCAAATCTGTGAGACTTCTTTCCACTCATCCAATCAGACACTGTTAAACCGCTGCAGACAGCAACAACCGACCAGACGCCCTCGAGGTGTCTGAAAACCAAACAAAGCCAACCAAGGGGACTATCTGAGCGTGTGGAAATCCATTTTAAACGTGTGACAGGCAGAGCTGCTGAGCTGTAAAGCACATGTCCCCCTGAGGTTCCTCCTTTTACAAATACGTTAGCTGCAATAAAATGTCTCGGACACATCACTGCAATGGAAATGTTATGATAGGTTTAAGGAAAACTATCAAGTCTGAAAGGTCGTATACAAATCATTCTGATGTCTGGTTTCCTGTTGGAAAACCAGTCAACCACAAAATTACCAGTCTTTCCATAAACCTGTTGTTCTTACTGCTAAAAGGCTATAATCCTTAGATTTTAGTCAATTGAGGATTACATGTTTTTTGTAATCCAGACTCTGAAAGAGAACAGTTCTTTGGCAGCAGCCTTACAAGGAAACAAGACTTCACAATTGATCAAACTGGTAAAGTTGGCTTTCACCAGAAACTGTCATCATGGCCACATGACACATCTATGTATGTACAGTAAACAGCTAAAGTAGTGGTTCTTGTTTACAGATTGATCATATATTAATCTTTTTATTTTACAGACACTCACCAGCTGTCCTTTAGCTCCTTAGCAGGACCTTGGACTGTTTCTGTCACTGCCGGTTCCTCAGCTGGCACTTTAAATGGCTCCTCAGGTGGGACCTCTACAGGTTTCTCCACTGGCTCCTCTGGCAGCTCACTGATCAGCTTCTTCTCTGGTTCTTGGGGCTCGGTTGTTGTCTTTGTTGGTTCTGGTTCTTCATTTTTCGGTGGTTCTGGGAACTCTAGTGTGCTTTTAGTTGGTTCTAGGGGCTCAGCTGGCTCATCCGCTGTTTCTGAAGAAGTTACTGGCTGCCTTTTTGGTTCTGGAAACTCCTCCAGAGGCTCTTCTTTCTTGGTAGGTACTGAGAGCTCTACTTTCTTTGTTTCCTCCTGAAGCTCGACTTTTGTGCTCTGTGTTGGTTCTGGGTGCTCTACTATCTGATGTGTTGGTTCTGGGAGCTCTGCTGTCTTCTTTAAAGGCTCAGGAAGCTCCACTGGCTTCTTCACAAGGTTTAGAGGTGGGATCTCTGGTGTCTTCTCCGCTGCTTGCTCCGATGGTGGGATGTCCTCCTGTCTCAGAGGAGCAGCTATTTCATCAGTCGGAGTAATAAACTCTAGTTGAGGAGACTCCAGGGATGGGAGGGGTCTGGAAAAACAATGCAAGAGAAGAGGGGGTTGGGGGATTTGTTGTTTAGTTTACAGCACATGCACAAGGAATGACTGACAAATGACAAATGTGTGTGTTTGTGTGGGTACGGGGGTTTGCGTCCCTACAAGAGTGTGTGTGTATGTGTGTATGTGCAGAAGTACTGTTGATACGTGTGTGTTTGTGTTGTTGTTGTTGTTGTATTGTGTTGAGCAGTGTGAGAAAAGGATCATTCTTGCCCTGGAGAGCAGGGACGATGTCACAGCTGATGTCATCCTTTGAATATAAAGGGCTGCATTACTTCCATTAGACTTCAACAGGCACAGTCATCTGACCCCAGCTCCAGTCGATACAAAGTGCAGCTCTGTGTTTACCTCCTCATTCATATTCATTGTCACACTGCTCTCTGTAATATCACTCCAAACAAATCCTGACCATGGTTACTGGAATGCTAAGATGAAAAAAAACTGCCGAAATCTATGAATATTAACCCAAAAGAGAGCACAGATTTACAACCCACTGAACTATTAACATAAATGAAGAAATTTGTTTACCCAATCTATAATTGTTTAGTCGTGATTCTGATTAATGTGGCTGTGATACAAACCCAGAACAGACTACACATGTGCTTTTCTCTCTGTGATGTACTTGCGCAGATGATATGTGACAGCATGCTAACGTGCTACTTTGTGTAACACACTAAGCGGGGAGCCCATGATGACCTCCACTGACCTTTGTCTAACACATGTAGACACAAGGCATTTATGGCCCTCGACATGGTTTTTATCATGAAATCTCATGTCTGTGCTCCTCTATTCTTAAGACATTTTCTCATAATATTGTCAAACACACACAAACATGCTTTCGTGTTTACCTTGAGGTCTCCACTGTGTTCTCTTGTTTACTCTGAGAATGGGATGCAGCTTCTTTTAGAGCTTTTATCCAGTTTGTATCTAGTTCTTGGGCTGTAAGTCCAGGAGCAGGACTCTCCGACACCTTGACAGCCTCTGATTTCACAGACACTTGTTCGACAGGAGAGATGCAGGCTGAAGCTTTTTCAAGTGATATTCCCTCACACTGGGAAGCAGCAGCAATGGGGTATACCACAATATCGTCTTGGGGCTTTGCCAACGACACTTCATGGGTCGATGCAAAATCTGCTGGGGATGGGACTGTGATAACATCTGGAGTTATTTTATCTGTTGTATCACTGTCGTTTTCTATTGCCTTAGAAAGACCAACGTTCTCCTCAAAGTGACAAACAGCAATCTCAGTGCTGCTGTGTGACACCCCACTGTCTTTAATTAATCCCGAGCCACTGTCTTTAGCACTCCCAGTTAGATTTACGACCCCTTGTTTTTCTGTTGCTTCATTGTTTATGACTTTTATATCATTTCGTCCCTTCCCCTGGCTGCTGGCTTTCTCTTCGTCCAAAGCTGCTTTATCTTCCTTTGTGATCTCCTCTACATCAGGGCCTTTTATGGCTGTTTGTGCTACTGGGCTGCTTTGTGTGGCTGAGGTTACATTGGAGCTTTGGAGCTCAAAAGGCTTGCACACTGTATCCTGAATTTCACACTCCTCAGTTTCACTACTGTTGCGTTTCACTGCCGTGGCATCACTGAAATCCTTTTTCACAGTTTCTGGTTGAACAACACGATCTGGCAGAGTACTGCATATTTTTGAATGAATTTCTTCAGCCTGGTTTGCACTTTCCGTATGAATTTCATGACTATCTGTTCTGACCTTTGACGAAACAGAGATTTGGGAAGGTGAAGTCTCATGTTCCTGTGATTTAGACTCAACAGATACAGCAGTGTTCTTTAAGGTCTCAGGTTTTCCGTGTTGGTCTTGACAGGCAGCTGATAGATTGCTTTTTTGCTGACCTTTACTACCCAGATCACTCACAAATTCAATGTCTGGCATTAAATGTGTAGCTGACCCAACTACCCCTACCTCGGGGCTTTTATTCTCATCCATCCCCTGTCTTGTGTCAATCACATGAGAGCAAGCTGTTACCATCCCCATGTCAACTAAGGCATTTCTCTCAGCACCTTTTCCACTCTCATTTAAATCACTGGCAAGGTGAGACGGCACACAAACCCTGTCAACCACTGGTGCAGCTTGTGCTCTCTTTCCCTCGCCTTTCTCTAGACGTATCACTCGTTTATTGCCAGTGCTGTCATCACCTGTCAACTCATCCCTGCTTCCTGACTGACACAAACTCCCGACAGAGCCATCTCCTTCCTCTGCTACCCCTTTTACCCCTGGAACCACTGCTTGGGTCTGCCTGACCTGCCTGTTAGTCTTTTCTCCCCCCTCTAGACAGCCACCTGACATCTCCACTGTGGGATGTCTGGATGCCAGACGCTGCTGCTGTTGCTCCTGTTGCTGAGCAAAACAGTTTGGATCTGGTGCAGACTGTGATTGGCCAGGAGCTGCACTCAAATCTGGTGCTGTGTCCCTGTCGGAGCTGCGTTCCAGTGTTGCTGTCGGAGTTTGGCACAAACTCTGGTCATAAACAGTTTGAGTTTCACTACCGGACTCTACCTCAGCGCTTGGCATGTCCTCAGATGACCCTGCTGCTCTGTCAGGAGATGAGGAAGAAGTCTCTCTCTGGCTATTAGATGCAGTGCCACTCTTCCTTTCTCCTTCCTCCTTAATATTCCTTATTGGTGATTCAGTCTTTTGTACTTTATGTTTATGTGGTGGCTGCAGGTCTCCAATTTCCTCTACACCCACTTTATCTGGCCCATTGCTCTCTTGTGGTGTTGCGCCTGTCTTTCCTGTCTGTAGCTTGCTGCTTTCTGCTGTTTCCTTTTGATTATCCATTGTTGACTCTCCAACTTGTTTCTTTTCCCCTTCAAATAGCACGGAGGTCTCATCTCCTTTTTTGTGTTTCTCTTTTACATTGTCCTGTTTAATTTCATCAGAAGCTTCATTGGAAGGCAGATCAGAGATGAGTGGGCAGCTGACATTAATGAGGTCATCCTTAATAGATGGTTCACAAATGACAGGTTTAATGCCGGTAGAGTGTGGCTCAGTACGAGATAGAGAAATTACATTATCAGATCCACCCTTTTCCAGTAAACCCACTGCACCAGGAGGCAGATTTTCCTCTTGTGGGAATGAAATATTTACATTGTTAATCGCAGAATTTTCAAGTTTAACAACAGACTCTTTAGCATCATTTCTAGCCTCCAGTTTCGGACACGTCTCATCTGCTTTAACACTGACATCACTGTGCTCCAGATCCTGTGCTGAAGATATTTGTGTAATTTCCCTGCTCTTGTTGCCATCCACTTCTCCAGAGACATTGGTGCTGCCACCATCAGCAATGTGGTTATCTATCTGCTCAGGAAGAGAGATATCACAGTCAGAAATGAACTCCAAATGACTTAACATTGGGCCAGGAGGCAGCAGCACAAAAGCAGGATTACTGATAACAGGAATTGACTGGTCAGAGGCTGTCACTTCTGAAGTCACTGACTCATCATTTGTGGACCCGTCAGTAGCCTCCAGAGGAACTGTGGTAACTAGTCCACAAGGATGCGTTTGATTTAATTGGGTGGGAGGCTGATCACTGGGGTCACTAGGTTTTGTCTGAAGAGAGGCTGTGCCGGTCATGGTCACGGTTTCAGCTTTTGAACTGAAGTCAAGGTCAGTAGAGAGTTGCCCAACAGGTAACTCAGTGGAGACATCGCTTAAAGGCTTGCTGGTAACATCATCAGCTGGAAGCACAGAACATGAGGACAGGGGTTGTTGATTACCTTCTTTTTCTTCAAGAATGACAGTGGCATCGCTTATTAAAGGTGACTCGTGAAGCTGGCCACTCTTGACTGAGCCTTGAGGCTCATGTAACTTTTCTATATGCTTCTCCTTTGACAAACACTCATTTAAAGCATCCTTCTCTGTTACTGCCTCAAATTGCTTTGTCACGTTTGTTGACTCCTGTTCAACTGTTACATGATCAGACTCAGAGATAACATTTCCTGCTGTTTGAGAAAGGTCAAAAAATTCTTCATTACCAGTCTGATTTTTCTCTGTAGGACATGGAAGCTGTTTTGGACAGGCCTTGGTCACAGACTGTAAATCCACAGTGTTTGTCTCCAAGTTTTCATTACCTAACTGATCTATGTTAATGTTTTCCTTGGTATCTTTAGTCCCTATATCTCCTTTGTCCAACTGCACATCATTCTGGGGCTTTGTTAAGTCAGCTGGGCTCCATATTGCTGGATCATCCTTTGTAGGGGCTGCATTTGCGATTTCTGGCTTCTTCAAGTTGAGGAAGTCTGGGAAGGTGTAGCTGGCTTCAACAACAGGATAATGCAAACTCTCATGTACAGTCAGCGGAGGCAAAGAGGCACACTTCATAGCTGGCTCCGGCATGTTCTTGAGATCCACAGAGGAACTGCCCTCTAGTTTCACAGTGTCCGCAAAATGAACTCTGTTGCTGCGTCCACTGCCATTACTTACGTACACACCCACTCCAGACATAGCAGGGCTACCTTTATTGCTCTGGGTCTTGGCTTGGACTTGGAACTCAGATGCACTTTCGGCTGTCCTGACTTCTGTTGTGCTACTCTCAGGCTGGACCTGTTGATTGTTGCTCGCTTGTCGATCGACTGGGATTTGTTGTGAAGTAGTCAAAGGCTGAGGTGAGATTAAAGACAGGGAGACTTGGCTGTAGTTTCTCTCTGTCTCTGTGGTGGATGACTCCTCACAAGAGTTTCCCGAAGACAGTGCTTCCTCTGAAATCAAATTCAGTTTGAGATCAGCCCTTACCCCTCCATTTGTATTGCTGGAGCTCTGATGAGGGTGAGTGGGGAGAGGGGAAATTGCTGCACCATGCTGTTCCTGGCAGGGGTGAGAGAGACGGTCCTCTTCAGTGCAGATGCTCTCAGTGATGGTAGCAATCGGCTCACTCCAGCTCTGTGACTTCAGCTGTGACTCGGCAACATCGGTGGGCGGACACGTCTCAGTCTCGACTGATGACACCCCACTAGCAGAGCCTTCTGGCTGGCTGAATGAACTGTGCTCTCTAGCCAGCCCTCCTTTCTCTACCACCTCCTCTCCTCCTCCTCCTCCTCCTCCTCCCGCTTCCTCCAATCCGGCAACACTGTGATCAGGACTAGTAAGTAGCCCAAGGGGAGAAGTATTGATATAGGCTTCTAACCGGAGTGGCTCCTTTTCTCTGGCTCCCTCTTCAGCTGGTGAGATCTCTGTGTCTGCACTGTGAACGGTTGTCTCTCTCGGTCCCTTCATTTCAGTCTCAGCTGAGTTTTGTGGCATTTTGCTGCTGCAGCTTTCCTCAGATGCAGCCTGTCCCTCTTTGGCTGAGAATGCAAGTGAGCATTTTCCCTGTGTACAGATTACTGAGAGCTGAGGAAGGCTGTCCAGGAGTCCTTCTTTCTCTCCGTCTGCAGAGCTGAAGCACTTTTCTATTCCTTCCAAATCTCTCTCTCCTACTGCTTTCTCACTCTCTGCGATTGCTACAGTAGCTACTCTCTCCAGTGAATCACGCCTCACGCTTTCTCCCTCTCCCTTGCTTTCTATCACTTCTGGCATCGTGGGTGTTGTCAGTGGCAACGCAGCAACCACCACTAAAGCCTCTTCAAGGGCACTCTCCACGCCACTCTCTCCCACACAAGTTTGACTGTTGGAGAGTGGGCTCTGATTCTCCTGTGTGAGTATCACTGCTTCTGAGGTAACTATAGCCTTCTCCGTTTCTGACTCTGATCTCTTATCAGCTATAGAAGCTGGACTGATAACTGTAGTTTGGACATATGTCATGGGTGTATCTTGGTTGTTGATGACACCTCTTGTTTCATGTTGCTTCCACTGAGGGCTATCGTCTGAGCAGTGATTCATGCCACATGGGACATCTGTATGGTTGCGGTTATCTGACTGATGGGGCCTCTGTGAAAGAGCCTGGCTGGCTGCAGGTGAACAGGCTGAGTCAGTAAGATGATCCTGCCTGCTATGAGAGGATGATAGTGGGGGGCTGGAGCTGGGCTTTCCCCCAGGACTCAGCTGTTGTGTGTAGTCAAACCCATTACCAGGCTGTTGCCCACAAATCACAGTCTGAGTGCCTGTCTGTGACAGTGATTCTGCATCAATATTTGCCAATGCATCTCTGTGATTTCCTGCATTTATGAGTGACACGCCCTGAATATCATTTTCAGGTTGCACTACTGTTTTTTCTTGCTGTTCAGTCTCTGAACTCTTCTCCATCTTTTTCTTTTTCCTTTGTTTCTTTTTTTCTTTCTTCTTTGTCTTTTTGTCTTGCTCAGCCTCTTTGTCACTTGGTGAATTCATCCTTTTGTCTGTTTTTGACTCCTGGTCCTCCTCAGTGTGATTGCTTGCTACTGTCCGTGTCTCTGACTGCATCTCTGATAATGCATCTTTATCCTTTAAATGAACATTACTGCTCCCAGATGTTTCATTAACTGAGTCATCTTTCTTTCCAGTTTCAACTATACAAACAGGAATACTGGACCCATCACTATAATTTTCTTTCTTTTTGTCTACATTCTCTGTTATTGCCTCTGTGCCTTTCTCCTTAATCACTGTGTTATAATCTAGAGTGCCATTTTCCTCAGTGACTGTATTAGAACCAACATGTTTCTCTCTTAGATTATCTCTCCGCTCAGTCAACGCAACATCTTTTCGGGTTTCTTTAAATGAATCTGTTGCTGTTTCTAATTGTGTATGCGGGGGTGTTTCCATCTGCTTATCTATCTCTGTTTCTTTTTCTGGCTTAATCTCTGGACATTTATCCAGGCTCTGTGTCGCTTTTATTTCACTCTCGACCTCTGCTGCCCCAGAATTATTCTCAGTGCCCAGTATGTAATTCCTGAAACTAAACACAACTGTATCCTTCTGACTGTTTGCTGCCTCACTGTTTCCGTGTGTACTCTTGTTTCCATGGCCCCCGTTGCTATGCCCTGGCTGGACTACTATTGGAGGCAGTGATGATGACTCATTGGACTTATTAACCATCACCTCTCCGGTTTTCTTTCCTACATCATTAACTGTCTCAGGCATGGTGCTGGGGGGCTCTGGGGAATTAAGTATGCCCAGTGAGGCCATTTGCTTTTCACATTCCTGGAAGGCCTCTTGGAGTTCCCAGTCTAGGAGCAAGGATGGGGGAAGGGTCGGAGGCCGGACATCCGGGTAAGGTGTGGCAGCAGGCCATGGTGAAGGCTGGGCATCTGTGAGAACTGGGTCGCTGTCATGAGGCCTGAGACGAGGGTAGGGTGACAGAGTTAAGAGTCTGGACTGGCAGGCAGACAGCTGGTCATTCCACGATGCCACAAAGCGCTGCTATTGGCAGAGCAGAAACCCATGCTCAGGCACTGCACTCTACAATATGCACACACAGCACACAACTGTGCTCAGGATACGTATTCTAAAATATACATTCCCCTACAAGAAATGATACCAGCTGTTTCTGAGCATATGGCTGTTAATGAACACGCATTGATCTGTTCATGCACACCAAAACACACAATGTATTTAGGCATCACACCAAATAGCACCTACGCAATTTTGCTATGCGTGCAATTGCAACACCCCGAACAACAAGCCTTCAAATATAATGTTGATGTGACTGCCTGATTGTCTAATTGAACCAAAAGCTTAATAATAAAAACTGGTTTCATTCAAATAATCTGATTGGTTAGTGATGTGTTGGAACTTTCTCACACTAACTTGCAGCATGAATGTTACAATAAAACTTGTAGCAACTACTAAGAATTGTAGCAGCATCCATATAACGTAAAATAGATTAGCAACCACTATGAAAAGTCTTTATTCCATTTGGCTGTAGTGATTGTGTATACTTAGCACTACTATCTATTCCATCACCCTGACCACTGTAAGGAATACTCTTTAGGTCAATTCTAAAATACAATACTTTTATGTGAAGGATAGTGATTATTAAACAGTAACTGTAAATGCTACACGAACCATGTTACATAAATAATTGCATTCCCTTAATGGTAATTAATCACATCACCAGAGAAACAACCTTACAATAATTTAAAATATTGCCTTGCAAAATACTTCCCTAAAGTACAAAGTTAGCATCATAATTTAAATGGCTGGGAGTAAATGTCTTTCAACAGTTAGCCTAGCTTTGAGCCATTCAGCTGTAATTGCTGAGTCACTGCTAAGAAATTAGCCAGCAGTAAAAGAAAATGCAGTTGGACCACCTTAATCTTTAATCCCCACTCAGTGTATGGACCCACCATCATTATTTAGTTATAAAATGCCCTAGTCTCTTACTCATGTCATCAGCTGGTATCTTGAAATCTTCCCCACGCAGTATCTATTATTCTAATACATGCAGCAACCACACTCACAAAAGTCATTATTCATATCCAGAAGTATAAATGAAGTAAGGACATAATGTCACAAAGTGTCAGTCCATGTGATTGGTTAATACATGATGGCTCACTCGCCTCACCAACCTGCCACTCAAGCCTGTATCTAATTCACTTGGCAATCCCTATTAAAGGGCGGAGCAGCAAAATAGACTGAACAGTTTGTAGCTGGCAAGTTTCGCTATGCAACAAGCTGTTGTCTGCCATATACCTGTGGCGGCTTCTCACAGAATTTGCATATTAAGGCTTTATATGTGCCAATGTGTGGAATTAGTTCTTGTGTCACCCTTACTTTAAATTCCCAGTTTCACACATTCAAACAAGCAATAATAATTACTATTGCAATGAGTCAGGTTGTCAGAACATATTAAAGCCTCAGACAAATTAGTGCAATTAACCTCAGCACTTAGACAAAAGCAGAATGCCAGGCAACAGAATGTTCAGTCAGTCTGCAGATAATTAACCCAAGCATGACAAAAAACAAACGACCACACCTCAAGCCAAGTCTGTTTAGGCAGACAACACCCAAACACTGATATCCATCACAGTCAACTATAAGTTAGAGACGTTCAATCAACTTGTCATCTTTTTGTTCCACTCCATGCTCTCTGCTTTTACTCTTCATCACCACACTCCCACAGCAGATGACCCACTATCCCCCATCATGCTGAGTGGTACCTTGTGTCTAGAACCACCACTGGTTGACTGACTTCCATGTGATGCTGCGGGCCCGCCAGCAGGGGGTTCACCTGCTCACATTTCCTATCACCTGAGCTATTCTGAGTTCTGCTAACACACACGTACACAGTACACATACATTCACACGTGCAAGAAGATCAATATCAGATTAAGTTTCACCTTGACTGAATAATCTGTACATATCTGTTCTCATACAGCCATAAATCAAGCAAAATGAATATCCAATACAATATTATACAGTAATGCAATAATAATAGGATACTTTATTGATGAACCTGCATCTTCCAGTGAAGGCTGGTGTATCTAATCACTATACTATCATTTTGTACCTTGGAAAATAACCTTGGTAATTTAAACACTATGATAAACCGTATGATAGACTGCTTCTTGTAAAAAGTTTTTGGGCGAGTTTAGTCGAAGTAAAGTTAAGACTTCTGAATCCCTGTGGAAACTAAAGCTACTCACATTGTTATTGTCTGTATATGTGTTAGCCCTGCAATTTATTGCCAATCTGCCCAGGATGCTTCTTTGCCTCTCAGCCAATGCATGGCTGGATAGGCCATGAACAGGTGTAGAGCATATATTGATGGATGGTTTGTGAATTTCTGACATACTGCAACTCAAAGCCCCTATTTTGTTTCTAAACTAAAAAGGCAATACAAGGTAAAGTTCTGAAAAAAAAGCACTATTATTATTTATTAAGAGTTTAGAGAAGAAAAAGAAAAAATGGACTGTGTGGGTGTGTTTTGATTGACAGTGCTGGCAGCAGAAGCAAACAACCCCCCAACTGTCATCACATTTTGATCCAAATGTTGCTAAACTTTGATGTTACCTTTTCCCTAATGAGCCCGGCACACTTTAAACCAGTCAGAGAAGAAGGGCCAAAAACTGTAGATATTATCATAATTCAGATTTCCTCAGAACTGTAATTATCACCAAAAACCAAGTCAAGAACTTGTTCTTCTTCTTTCTGTGATATCAAGTGACAGTTTTATCTTGACATTACGAGACGAAGTGCGATAGTGTGTGTCTGCGAGTGTGTGTCTGCGAGTGTGTGTGTGTGTGTGTGTGTGTGTAACCCGTAAACTTACCCCAGCGAGGACTCCCAGATGTTGAGCTCACTGCTGAAGTCTAGACTGGGCAGCAGGTCATGAGGAAACTCAAGCTCATCCTTGTACTCCTTGTCTCCAGCTGCACCACTAGTCTCCTCCACTCCGGTGATGACTGGGAAAACTGGTTGAGACAGCAGACTCTGTTGGCTGGTTTCGGCCTCAGTCAGCAGCGCTCTGTTGTCCCTCTGGGTCAAACTCTCAGCATGAGCTTCAGCCTGTTGGACAGCGAAACACCATCGTAGTGAGCTACACGCTGGAGTTTCTGCTGCATTATATATGATAGTGTGTGTACTTAAACAAGTGTGAGCATGTTGCCGACAGACACGGGAACACCTACAAATTTAATGCTCAAAGCCAAACACCAGGAACAAATAACTCCACCCACGTGTTAAACTATTAAGTAAAGTGTTTTTTGTATAGTAATGCATAGGTCATATTGACTGGAGTATTCCCTTCCACTCAGACACTTTATCTTTGTCTCTGAACTTGCTTTTCTTATACTACTTAAATTAAAAGGATTATTTCCAGCATTATAGCCTAGACTTAATACCAGGATCAGAGCACGAGCCAAATCTTTGCAGCTTTGTTTACACTGTACAATACACATATTTAAAAATTAAAAAGTAACTTATTACATTAACTATATGGTCATTGCAGTGGTCTTTTCCACCAGAAACGCCTCTCAAGGAAGTCTGCTAATCCTTTTTTCCAGGGTGTCAAAAGACAAACCTTTCTGCTGGACTGTGATAAGCATAATAAGTGTGGTTTAATAATTGTCTAGAGTAGATCATTTAGATGACATTTTCATTCTTTAACTTTTTCCTTTATCTTGGGTAAATAATGAAGATGTCCCTTGATCCCTGCAAATCACATTCTAAATTGACCTGAAAAGATTTGCATTTAAAATGTGACTTAAGCTGACTTGAAAGCTCATGTGCAGACAATACATGGAGCACTTGGCCTTGGCTGTGTTTCCTTTCTGTCTGTCCCGCTGGCTGACAGATGGACAGAGTCCAGCCACAGCCACACACCACAACACTTGGCTGGGGCATCATGTTGCAGCAACATTGCCCAACTCTGGATCCACTATGTGATGGAAATTCACCCACATAGGCAAACTCAGTTTACAGAAGAGAACGTTTCCCTTATTTCACCCACTTAGATATAAACTGAGGTGTGCAGGTGCAGGCAAACAGATGTGCCCTTGCACAGGCATAGACATGCAGATAACGCAGCCCTTTAATATTCAGTAGTTTGGAAAATGTGGGCATGAGCTGTTTCTTACAGAGAGATCCTGTTTTTAGTGTATTAGGACATGAGTTGATTTCACAATGTGAGTACAGGATACAATGCGGCTGTGGTAATGCTGTCCATTGCTGAGATTCTGAATTGAATCCGTTCATTCATTATTTATGACTCACTAGTAGACAGCATGGCTGCACTCAAGCAGAGGTGACTATCACGACAAGCTGAAACAATGAATAAAAATCAATTCTTTGAAACATTTTCAAGCAAAATTTCCATCACACTGAATAAATAAAACACACAATCACGTCCTTCAAGATGGATTACAAAATGCCACATCTTGCTCTCATTTCACCTCAGTGGTTTACTTACTGGATGTGGATATTGGAGACAGATGAACAAGTAAAGCTGTGTGTGTATTGGGCAGGTTCTGAGTCTATGGCCTCACCTGTGTCACCACTACAAAGAGCCTCCTTTGTGTGACACATCAAGCACAGATGCAGGATCTCTTGTGTTCCTAACGCAAACACGATTATAAAAGTAGTTACAAATCTTGGCTGTACTAGGCCTTTAAAACTGTCAGTTATGTAGCCTCTCTCTTCACATTTGTGTTTGTGGAGCTCAAGTTATTTTTAAACGTACTAATTTAGACTTCTACTGCTTTGCTCTTTTTCAGAAGAAACCTGGCCACATATTTGGTTGCAGAAAAAAACAAGAGAACATAAAACATTAAAGAACAACAGAGTGAGAGAACTCAAAAAAGCTCCGCTGCAGGTAAGAGTGTCACTCTGAAAGCCTGTGATCTCCCTACTGCTGTTATTCTTCATATTAATGTTACATAATCAGATAAAAAAGAAAACGTCCTCCACACCTTACCAGTCATGCATGCAGACATGAACCCAGTTTAGTCATGAGATGTCTGTATGTTGATATGTCTTGGGTTTCCTGTTTCCTGCCTGAACTCTCTCATCTAATGTCACAGTGACAACAAACTAACCCCTCCACTGATATCAAACTCAGAATAGCTAATAGCATGTCCAAGTTTACAGCCAACACTCATTCAGCAAATTATTGACCATTTTGTGAAGATGTTGGAGGCTTAGTGAGGTGGAAAAGCCCTTGTTTCACTTAGTTTGGGCCCCATACACACATAAAGCACTGTCTGTTATTAATTAACCCACAGGAACAAAACAGAAAGCAAGCTGAGGTTGCCTGGAAACTGCTACTTGTCCAACAGTCAGTAAGTAATACTCACTGTTAATTCAATGTGTCAGTGCCCATGTGCTAACACAACTTTAATGCTTTACACATGACTGTTGTAAACAGATAGAAGGCAGTGCTAATCATGAACAGCAGTCTCTTACACACACACACACAGAAACGTTAAACAGATCCAACGCTTACACTCTTTCTATCCTGCCCACTGTCCTGTGTAAAATAGTACACCTCTCTCCTCTGACTACACACCCGACAAGTTTCATCCCACTGTCATCTGTGAGGCACTTACCCAGCAGCGTGCTCCACAGTGCTGAAGGTGACTCTACAGTGCAGTGCAGCTCTGCACAGGCAGCCTCTGCAGGGTTCTGTGTTTTGAGGGGGGCAGAGGACGACACAAACATGCTGCAACACATGCTGATGACGCTCCCTCTCCTCTCTTGTACTGACTCAGCTAACTTCCTCCTCCTCCTCCTCCTCCTCCTCCTCTCCACAGTCCCGTCCTGTCTTCTGCTGCTGCCACTCCCCCTGTTAAATTTCCATGAGCCTCCTCAAGCTCTTGCAGTGTGTGTGTGTGTGTGTGTGTGTGTGTGAAGTCTAGAAACAGTACACTACCACGCACTGACAAACACAGTTCTTGCTGCTGGGAGTGACTAACTTGACTGGGCTGGCCACAAGGAAGGGCTGAGAATACTCCTCCCCCTGTACTGTACACTCTTTCCACCCAGCTCCCTCCTCCTCTCTTCCCTCTTTTTTGTCGTCAGTCCTTCCCTATCCACCTCTGCCCAGGCCTCCTCCCCCACCTCTCTTGCTGCTGTGTCTTCTGGCTGGTTGCACTGACTGACAGTGCCTCTGCAGGTGAATGCTGGGAATTAGGCCAAGGTTCGGGCCAGCAGTGACCCCCTGAGAGAGGATCAGGTTACAGTCCTAGAGGCTTCGGTTACATACACACATAGGCACATATACACAGACACAGACAACATCCTCGTGCATTATAAAAGCTCTTCATCAACTTTGACCTCCCTGTGTTGCTATGGTGTGACGTCATCAGTACACATGGCCATTTAAATACCCTGTGTTCCTACTGACAGTACACTGAGTGTCTTAGGGGATTAGTAAATGTCTCCTGTGGCTGATTTGTACTGGATATTAAGTCGAGCACAATATAATTATTACCACCTTGGGATTTCTTGTGACCTTTTCTCTTCCCGGATCAGACAAATAGTCTGTACAAATAAACAAAATACACAGCAATGTTACAAAACCAGATGAGGTTAGCAAAGAGCATTGCAATCACAAGGAATCACAAGCTATGCTGTCAAAAGGAATAAAATGAAACCACCTCTAACATTGTAGCACACCTGTAAAACATTTGTGTCACCTCAAGTGACACTGGCTTAAATGTGGAAGGTAAGAGGTTTGAAATCAGTCCCTTTTCACAGTGTACCACCATGTACTTAAGTTAAATCTAATTACTTTGCTTTTCATGAATAAAGTTGTAATCAGATCACAAGATGTCCCCCAGCAGCACTATGTCTGGGCCCCTTTACAATCAAGGAGGAAAACACACAAGATTATATTCCCTCAAGGTTTCACACACTCTTTCTCACACACACATTGTACCTGTAGGTCATTTTCATTTTCCTGAGGTGGAAACAGAACAACATTTTCTGGAGCGCCCTCTTCTGGCTGTAATGGGGAATGAAAGAGTTCAACAAGATATCTATAAGAGTAAAACCTCCTGTACAGAATATGGCAGTAGTGGTATTCACTGAAAATAAATTTCCATTGTTTTTAAGGTAAAAGGTAAGAATGTTAAACCCCACTCAGCCACATTCAGTGAGGTCCAGTGTACATGGTTTGTAGAAGTCTATAGCTCATGAGACAAATGTTTACGTTAATCCTATTAAAATAATCCTTAATTCCACTGCTGGTCCTCCAGTCACATGTGGAAATCATTGTTTTTCAATCTGTATTTTTGTCATTTCTGTTACAAAGTACACAATTACGGCAAAACTTGATTCGTAAAACAAGTTAATTGCAACAATAAATCAGTAAATTCAGTACATTAATGACCTTCCAACCATAATAGGGATGATAGATTTTATAAAATGCAAGAAAGCAAGCTTGGAAGTATCATGATGTGTAGCAGTAAACGCAGATCATGGATTTTGAGAGTCATGGCATCTAATATTTAGCTTTATCTCTACACCAGTCAACCACAAAATGAACAAAGCATGTTCTCTAAACGCTAATTAGACAAGCCTCAATTAAGCATGGGAATGTACACAAAGACTACAGCTCCATGCAAATCCCATGTGTTTTACTGAAGCCAGCAGTTAGTAATTATGCCAGTAAGTGTTAGTTTTGTTAGTCCTCCGCGTACCAAAGAGTTCAAGGCATGTATAGCAGCACGGGGGCAGCAAGTAGCAAATCCCAGCCATCCAAAGCCAGCAAGCTTGCCCTTACCGACGCCTCAATGGTGCTGTTCTCGTTCCCCATGGTTCAGCCAGCTGCAGGGCCACGACTGCCCAAACCAACAGCCTCTCACATCAGCTGGCTGAAAGACACTAACACAGAAGGACCATCAGCATACAAACCCCAGTGAGACACAGGGGGAACAGGGGATCTGTGGCCCCTCAGTAGTCACAGACTCATGCTCAACAGGATTAGAGGTCTCTGGTATGAGGTTGAACTTGCAGGGAAGGGGAATGGTGTGTGTTGTTTTAGAGATTAGGGAACCTGTAATGCAAGACCTCCCTCCCAGACCAAAGTGCAGGCTTTGCCTTTCCTGATGTGGGCTTAAAAGCAGAACAGCATCTTCTTTGATAGAACAGCTTGATATAAAAGTTGATTGTACAGATCACTTTAAGAGTACATAAGACACATTCAACTCCAGATGCATTAAGTTACAATGACCAGCAGGCCCCCTCTGATCTAATTTACGTCAAAAAAATGGCGTTGCCTCCTAGAATAAAAAACATCTTCACATGCAGTCACTTTGTGGATGTGATGTGGCTGAGTGGCTGTAGCATACTGACACAGTGACTGAGGATGGGTAATTCTGTAAGGTAATCCTCATGCGGTAAGTAACAGATTGTGGTGTCTCTTGGCTTCCAGCAGGGCTCAGTCTGTTAATGAACACGAGGCTATTTAAATTATCCAGGAGCATCTCAAATCCGTCACTATATAAACACTATATTTTGAGTGATTTTAAGAAAAAGACAGCACATGGACTGATAGTATATCAAATATATGTAGAATCACTCTTGTAGCCCTATCAACCTCTTTTTTTCTCTCACTAGAGCCTTTCTTTGTTGTATGACTTGCAGCTGAGCAGTAAACACTCGTGCCACAGGAAGGTTGTTTGTGCATTCCTCATATGACTGCAGGGACTATACGGTAGCTGTGTATAGTCAGAAAGCACTGACCTGAATATGTAAGGCTTTATAAATAGAGTTCTGCACTGTCCACTGCTGTTAGACTTTATTCCAGCCTTGTGCACAATTTGTAATGCACACAAACAAATGTGCTGTTTATTCCAGTTATGTGTTTATTCATTTATTAATTATTATTTCTGTTTTTGATTATTCTTTTGTCCTGCATATTTCCCATGATTATCACATGGGAAAATAATATCTGTGTTTCCCCTCACATCTTCACTTTCTATGATGTAGCAACTCTTCTCCCATGCCTGGCCTGATTTCTATTTGTGCGAATGGGGTGTAATTTCAGCCTGTACGGTGTGGACGCGTGTGCACTTTGACTGGCGGTGTTTCTGGGCTTTCTGGCAGGACAAAAAGCACCGGGGCAAATCATATGATTAGACTGGTGCCAGGTATCCTCTCACCTCATCATTGGCCTGTCAGTCATTCAACAAGAGGCATCTTGTAAGCTCCTGGGTTTGGACGAGCACCATATATCATTGCTTAGACACCTAGAGTATGAGGTTACTGTTTCCTGCCCTGTATCTGACCCCTGCGTTGGCATAAAACCCAGCAGGAACACAACCTCTATATTAAACAGAACACTGTATTTATACTATGAGTTTTGATATAATAGAATATTATATATATATATATTTCTCAGATAATGTATATAATATATTTTAGTAAAGTAAGAGAATGAGGAAAGCAGGTGAACAAACTGCACAGTACATGAAGTTCATCCTGGCCAAGGCAGCTATAGTAAACACATTGAAATCATCATACTACATCAATTGAGTTGTTAATAAAAGCAAAACAGTCACACAAATTTCAAAACAAGCTTCAACAACCCCCTTGTGTCCTTCCATTTTCATATGTTGACCCTCCATCTGAGGGACTACAATAAACCAAACTAATCTAAAATCTGCACCAATGCTGCAAAACTACTCACCACTGCAACCAAGAGACTTTTCCACACACAGTGTCTGCCTCAGGTTTTTCACAAACCCCTCCAATCTGTTTACTGTCGGACTCGAGGCCAGTGTTTGTTTCTGTCCTCTCTTCTGAGGAGCCCCAGTCCCTCTGTTGCTATTTTTGCATTGCACGCCGAGTGGGTAGAGAAAGGACGGAGGGTGGACACAAGGACGGGGACAGAAGAGGGGACAGGACAGGGGGTAGGGGGGAGAGTTGGGAGGAGACCGAACTGGAGCTGGGGGAGCCATGTCTGATCTGATTAGGGTGGTT